TGTGGCAGGAAGGGCTACCTTTTTTCGTCAGAGATGGGAGGACTTGAAGGAACAGGTCACAGAGAGGGGCTTGGAGGAAGTAACCTGAAGCCCAGCTGCCCTCAGTGGGGAAGAGAGGGTGGGGGCTTGGAGAAGAATCAGAGGTTTGCGGGATGTTTGTTTCATGGTCTCAGTAGCCTCGTGCATGGGAGGGCAGATGGGTGGAGCCTCCCAGAGTGGCCACCTTTTCCTCTCCTGCTGGCCTGCTCTGCTCCCAGCTTCATTGTGCTCCCAGGTACCCCTCTCCCGCCTTTTCTCCTTGCTTTTGTGGGTTGTGTTCCCCCTTTAGATCAGAAACCCCTTGCAGGAAAAGACCATCTTTCTTATTTGTGTCCCCAGTGCTTAGCACAGTGCCTGGCTCACAGTCGGTGCTGAATAAATGTTTGTCTGGCTGTGACTAAAATATGGAGCGTAGTACTGAGGGAGCTTCACGGGAAGAGAGCAGAGGCTGCTGAGTGATGGTGGCAGAGGGCCAGTGGGGAAGTGGCAGGGAAGAGCAAGACCTGGGCCAGTGGGGTGGGGGAAGGAAGGGAGCTGGGTAAGGAGCTGGCCTCCAGGAGTGTCTTCCACGAAGAGAGATGGAAGAAAGGGGAGGACTTTGCTAACAGATGTTGAGTTGGGGGTTTCCAGAGGGCAGAGGAGAACCTGGTCTGGGGATGAAGTGTGCATAGAGATGACATGATGAGGTTGCTTTTCCCCTCTCAGAATGCCAGGGCTAGCAAGGGTCTAAGGAATTGATTTGGCCAACCCGAGATGAGGGATAGCACTTTTGGCAGTTTGCCAGGAAGAGATCTGTGGCTGTAGTGGCCTGCCATCTTGGGATGAGTCCACCATTGGATTTGGCCTGGGACCTCGGACTGCATCGAGAGAGGCCCAGAGAGTTTCCTGGAAGGGTTACAGAGCCGAGAGGCCCTCTGCTGTCTGTGCACTTCAGGAGAGTTGTTTGAAGCTCTGGGTACCCCATTTCTGTCGTTTTTGTTTTTGTTTTGTTTTTGCTACGCAATGGGGTTAAGTGACTTGCCCAGAGTCACACAGCTAATAAGTGTTAAGTGTCTGAGGCCATATTTGAAGTCAGGTCCTCCTGACTCCAGGGCCGGTGCTCTATCCACTGCGCCACCTCACTGCCTGGGCACCCCATTTCTGGGAGGACATTGATAAACTGGAAAGGTTGAGAGGCGGGCAAAGCCGCGGCCACCATGAGCTGAAGGAGCTGTAGATAACTGAGCTGGAAGGACGTGAAAGCCATCTCCGCTTGGGAGCTTTTCACGCTCATTTTGTTTCAGTCTTGAAGACGAGAACTGGCCACATGGGGTGGACGTGGTAAAGGGAAAATTGGAGCCGAGCGTCGGGAAAACGTGGCCACGACGAGGGCCGTTCCAGCAGGCCAGAGGGGCCGCTGGCTGGCACTGAGACGAGGTGAAGAGGCCGCGAGGCCCTTCCCAGCTGAGATCCTGAGGCTCTGGCAAAATGGGAGCTTGAGTGATTTTAGAGAAATCGCAATTTAGGAAAGAAACCACTGCTGGTTTGCTTGATAACTTAGTAAGTTAGTAGCAGCAAACCGAAATGTGAGCCCAAGCTTGGGTGTTTTAGGTTCAGAAAATTTTTTTAAATTAAAACAGATTAAATAGGAACTTCCCCCCAAAAAAACTTGGAGGTCGACATTGCAGTGAGCATGTTGACTCTAAGGAGTCGTTCTTGTCTCCTGGAGGGATGTCAGTCTGCTGCTGTGTTTTGTGACCTGTGATTTCTCTTGAGTGTCTGCCAAGTACGGGGAAGCCAGACAATTTGGGGATCATGTTTTGTTCGTGCGTGGGAACAAGCTGTTGATGCTGTGTGCCCTGCCCAGGCCCCCGTCCTCCCAGATTCCAGTTTAGAAAGAGATGGTGATCCCCTGTGGACCTGGGCCAGCACAGGCCAGATCAGGTGCTGAGGTCCTAACCCTCAAGGGCTCACTTTGTCTCTGGCTCATGCCACTGCCCTAGAGTTTAATCTGAGAAAATATAAAAAACAGAATCTAGGTGTGACATGTCTGTTTCCTCAAGTGTGGAAACATTTTTGTATAGGCACTACTTGGACAATCTGGGCATTGGCTGTGGGACAACATTTATTTCCCCATCACAAAAAAATGCTTAAGATTCAAAGGACTCATAGGAGCCTATATAGGAACAGAAAACCCTCTGAGAACCTCACCCTGGGGAAGGGAAGACCCTTTGGGTTTGTTTGTTTGTTTCTTTTTTTCTTTTTTTGGTGAGGCATTTGGGGTTAAGTGACTTGCCCAGGGTCACACAGCTAGTAAGTGTCAAGGGTCTGGTCTGAGGCCAGATTTGAGCTCAGGTCCTCCTGACTCCAGGCCTGGTGCCCTATCCACTGTACCACCTAGTTGCCCCAGGAAAACCCTTTGGGATAGCAAGAACACAGATGGGTCTCATCCACCTTGAACCGACAGGGTCAGAGTGGCTCCTGGCAAAACCTCGAACTCTTTACAGGCTGGCCCCTAGCGACCTGCCCAGTCTTGTTTCACACATTTTTCTGTTCCTGGACTTCTGGCTTTCCTGCTTCTGCTCAGATTTGAGTATCCTGAGCGCTTCAGGCTAGGTAGGGGTCGTCAACCTGCGGCTGCGTCCCCTGCCTAGAACCCAGGCCCTTCACCCTGGTTCTCTTCCAGATTCGGCTCCAGCATGTCTCCTTGGAGCCTCTCCTGTCCTCTCCTTCTCACCCGCCCCAGGCCTCTCTCTCACGGTTACCTTCTCTCTGCAGGGTGTAGATAGCGCTCCCTAAGAGTATGTATGTTCCTTTCCAGCAGGCATCGCTTCATCTTGGTCTTTGTATTCCCAGGGCCTCGCACACAGTAGGCATTCATTGAGATGTTGCCCATTACCTTCCTTTGCCGAGGAGGCAGCCGTGAAGTCTTTGGGTTTGGCGGTCCAGGAGCTCCAGTCTGCAGATGCAGATCGGCAGTTGTTGGTAATTGGAGTCTGTACTTGCTTGGGATCACCAGGCCAGGCCACTTTGTATCAGAGGCAGAACCTGAACCCAGGACCTCTTGATCCTGAGGCTGGCTGGCCCTCTCTTCAGTCTGCCACTCTGCCTCTCTTTATGCTGAAAAAAAATGTTCCTTGCTTTCGAGGTTAGACTAGGCACAGTCATGGGATCTAAGCATTGGAAGGGTCCTTGGACACCATCCAGTGTGACCCAATGCGATACTGACCACTGAGTGACGTTGCTAACGCATCATCTTCTAAGCCCTCCTGCGATTGTTTATAGAAACTGTCCTGACATTCCTTGTCTGTCAGATTGGATTCCGTCGTCCTGTGTGGGCCTACTGTTGGGTCCTTGTCCGTACCTAACCTTCTTAGCTCCCGGTCGCCTTCCCCTCTTCCAGGAAGCTCTTTCATGGCTCCCTTCCAGTCCCTTCTGGAAACCTGGATGGCCTGGGGGCAAGGAGAGGGCCCTCCCAAGCTGCTGTCAGTCTCCATTCTTGATTGATCGGCTCTGGTCACTTAAGCTGTTTTGCTGACGCTGAACTGTGCTGTCCTGAAGCTCTCCAGATTGTCCACACAGAATACATGAGAGACTTTATGAAAAGCCTGGTGAAGCCAGCAGTTGTGTGTCTGCGGCAGTGCCCTGACGTCCTGGTCCGGGCCGTGCCTGGCATGACCTGTCCCTGTTGCTAAATCCTTCTCCTTCTGAAACTCACATTTATTAAAGCTTGCCGGAGGGAGTGGAGACAGGTAAAACAAATAGAGGTGAAAATAGGGAATATTAATATGTTTATAAAATTGATTTGGTCCCATCATCTCTGAAACATCATTGCCGTCTGGTTGTTGGGAATTTTTTTCAGCTTGTTCCTATTTTTTGTTCCTATTTTTTATACACATTCTGCATCAGAAATGTATGAGCCTCAGCACGTCCATGGGGTGGGGCTGGGAATGTCATTGCCAATGTCTCAGTTAGTTAGTTAACTGAAGATCAAATGAAAACAGTCTTAAGTTGTGCTTCAGGCATCACTGAGACTTGTTCTCTCTGATACGAATGGAGAAAGGAACCCGAGATCGTACACTGAAGGACTTTCCCACTTTTCCCATCTTTGGAAAATCAGTTACCGCTCTGTCCACTTTTGGGTTGGAGGGTCATTTTGATAATGATGGGCAAATTTGGCATTTCAGTCTAGATGAGAAGGCAGATTTCCACGTGTTTTTAGTTGGCACCTGTGTGACTGAAAATTGTTAAAATCATCTGTAGCTTGGAAATATTTGTACAGGCAGCTAGGTTGCACACTGGATGGAGTCACTGGGTTTGGAGTCAGGGGGACAGGTTCAAATCCATCCTCAGACTTACTAGCTGTGTGACCCTGGGCAAGTCACTTAGCCTCCATTTGCCTCGTTTTCCTCACCTGAAAGATGAGGATCATAATATCATCTGCCTCATAGGGTTACTGTAAGGATCAAATGAGATCATATTTATAAAGCACTTGTTTAAAGCACTTGTTGCAGTGCCTGGTACATAGTAGGCATTTTATAGAAATGCTAGCTACTGTTGCTTTTGTTATTGTTATCCTTAGCTGTCAATAATATTCATCAGATCTGACTTGGAATGACAAAATAATGACATTCCATAAGCATTTCCCACATAAGGTTGCCTTGCCCAGTGTCTTTTTCAATAAAGTCATTCAAACATTTCAACTATACCCTATCTTAATATTTCCAACCCAGCAGGGACACTTCTCCCTGATAGGCCTGCCCAGTTTTATTTCTGTGGCTCTAATCCTGCTACCAGCATTTTCTCAGCTAATTTGTGTGTGGAGCCAATTAACGGTGTTAGGTTTTGCCTGTATGGGCAGATTTTCTAATACTGTGAAAGTAAAAGGATATTTGTTTAACATGAACCTAGGGATGTTACTCGCAGCGGTAAAGTTGTGTGATTAGAGAAAGCTGAATTCTTCTCTTTGTCCCATTTTGTAGTCTACGAAGGATCAAAGACTGGTGTACTCTGGCCGACTGCTTCCTGACCACCTGCAGCTGAAAGATATTGTCAGAAAAGTAAGGTCTTCTTCCAACCCTGTTTGATAAGTTTGCTTAATCCGTTTCTTTTTAAAATGGGCCATGTTCTGAATGTGAATGGGTTTCCACTTTTATTTTCTCATTTTCAAAGAACCTGAAATTATTTTTTAAGAATAACGTGGTAAGGATAAAGAGCTTTCTTGAAGACATAATAAGAAGCCGTCAGATTAGTTTGCTAACCAGTCAGCAAGGTCTGTGTTTCATAGCCAGCTGTGCAATGGGTTTACTACGTATGTGCGTATTCATATATGTGTGGGGGTTAAAAACAATGCCCTTTTTTACATTAAAAGGTCCTTTTGACTCTGCCAGGAGGGTATGGGCATGGTTTTTCTACTGGTGATGGATTTGCATTGATCCACCCAAACTATCTTATCTGGGTTCTCCATGTGACCAGTGAGGGATGCTGAGACAGCTCGGTAGTGCTGAATATAGGTAGAAATTGAAGTAAAATCTCACTACTCATTACCTGAATCAGACTTTTTAACTTGGCCTTTAACAGTAACATGGTTGATGAGCTAAGATATAGATTACTATGTGGGGGAGCCATATATGACCCTGTGATTTGAGGGGATGCTTTGTTGTATATATGTTATAACTCCTGGTTTGTGACTCCCAAGCATTTTTTATCTGTGGCGATCACGAAGGTCATGGAGAGCCTCCGTGTGGCTCCTGAGATCTTTGGCCTGAAAAGGTACTTCCTGGTGGGTGGCGGGCCAGCGCCGTCGTCCCTGTCCATCCCTGTATCCGAGGACGAGGGCGCAGCCATGGTGATGGCTGAGGTCTCACACCCTGTAGTACTGATTCTCTGGCAAAGGGTCCCAGCTCTACAGCTGGAAGGGGCCTCCAAAGCCACTTAGCCCAGACTGTTTCCCCCTCTCCCCCCAGCATTAAGTGAACTGCCTCCAGCCACACAGGGAGTCCATGGGCATCAGAGGCAGCGTTGGACCCCTGGTGCTCTGCTCTAGGGCCAGTGTCCTTCCTCTGCCTCTTTGGAAATGCATTTCTGTGGTTTGGGATAAGCTTGGATCCCCGATGACCACTGCCCTATGAGATGGCCACATTCCAGGCTCAGGCCTTGGCAAGACCTCGCGGCCTTTTAGCGCTCAGCCTCCCCTCCAGCAGCAGATCCCCCTGTCCCTCTCCCAGCTCTTCTCTCCCTGCCATTTTTTTGTAACTGTTTGCACCCACCATTTCTCTGCTTCCTTCTTTCCTTCTCATTCTTCCTCTTGTCTGATCTTCTTTTCTCCTTTTTTAAATGTGATTTTCATTGCTTCCTCTGTGGGTCTGAGTAGCTACACTTGTAGTATCCATAGGGTCATAGGCAGTTGAGAGCTGGAAGGGGTCTTAGAGGCAGCTCGTCTAACTCCCCTGAGGGGCCCCCCCCTTCACATTATTGATGAGAAAGCGAGGCCCACTCAGGCGGGCGGGGGATGTGGGCCTCTGACGCCAAGGCGGGCGCTCTTTCCCTCTCACTCAGATTCCAAGGCAGAGCAGTCGCCCGTCCTCTTCTGCCGTCTGATCATTTTGTAGGTTTTCTTCCCTGTTCTAGTGAGGGGAAAGATGTGAGGTCCTTTGAGTGCTCTTGAGCACTATGGTCGAGTAATAGTTTTACAGCAAAGCACGGGATTTCCAGTGAAGATTCATGGCAGCCGCTGTCCCGGGTGACCTGCTGCCCACTACGGTCTGGGGAAGTTCATTTCAAGCTGAAATCATTTGCACTTCTTATGTGCGTCGCGTGCATAACTGGAATGTGCATGCCCCGCTGAGTGCTAGTTAGGGTGTCGGCTTTAGTTTTCGGGGCCTGGAAGTGTTTCTGATGGTGAAACCACGGGTTGCTTTTGGCACAGTGGGCGGCAGTGCTGGCCCCCAGCTGCATGGTGTGGGAAACACAGCCTGGCTTGACACCGTGGGGCCTCCAGGTTTAAGGTGCTCTTCAGGTTCAGAAGAGCCGGGGCTCTGGTGCCCGAGGGAGACCTGGGAAGGCAGGAGGCGCTGCTTCACTCACTCAGCTGCTGTGGCCTGACCACCTACCTTTTGGACGACATGCTTCTGAGGATTGCTTGGTGATCTCCACTTTGTCTCGTTTTAGCAAGATGAATATCATATGGTCCATCTAGTCTGTGCTTCTCGAACTCCTCCCAGTTCCCCACAGCCCAGCAGCCGGAGAGGCAGTGAGGAAGCGTTGACCTCCATCAGCAGTTATGTGAGTGTTTGACTGGCAGGGGGTGGGGAGAGGGGGGAGTGGGAAGGAAGGCTCTTGGTTTTCATCCGCCCCAAACCCTGAACATGGAATTGGACCATGGGTAACCCTTCCCAGCACAGCTTGGGGGCAAGAAGCCTGTCCTCACCTCCCTGGTTGGTCAAGAGTGCTCATCCCCTGCCCAGAGTTCCTCGGTGTTTACTACTGTCTCTTTTCCACTAGGGAGCTTAAGCACCCTGAGGGCAGGGCTCCTTTTATCATGTCTTCATATTCCTAGGACCTACCCCAGTGTTAGGAGCTCAGTAAATGCTTACTGACCTGGGGAATCCCCAGGGAGCCTCCAGCTGGCTGATGTGGGAGCTCTAGCCGTGCTCTAGGGAGAATGGTTCATGACAAGTGTAGTTCATTTTCAGGTACTTACTTAATACTTCACTTTATCATATGCTGATGTGGGGGGGGGGGGGCCAAGGGCCTGGATTTACTTTTTTTTTTTTTTTTTGTGAGGTATTTGGGGTTTAGTGACTTGCCCAGAGCCACACAGCTAGTGAGTGTTATGTGTCTGAGGCTGGATTTGAACTCAGGTCCTCCTGACTCTAGAGCCGGTGCTCTAGCCACTGCACCACCCAGCTGCCCCTGGATTTACTTTTTAATGTTAACCTGCATTGTCCTCAGAAGGGCAGGGTTTGTACCGGACCAGTGTGTTGGCCTGACCGTAGTAGGCATTGGCTGTGATACCCTGTGCTGCCAGGCTTCCGTAGGAAGGACCGCTCTGTGTCCTAATGAACTTAGGCTGGGGCTGTTCCTGTCTCTGGTTTTGTGGTGCCAGCGTTGTTTCAGATTAACTCAGAGAGTGTAATGAAATTTGTAAACCAAAATTAGTTTGAATTTGCTTTGATTAAAACCAAATTTACACCTAGGAATTTTTGGAGGAGGATTGTTGCCACAAGATGCCACAGAAGTGGGGTATTGATTGTTCCCTCAGAGCTTCTCCCTGGGGAGTGCCTGTCAGCTGTTTGCATTAGTCCCAGAGGAGAGCCATCGGACTGTGGCCCCAAATGGCCTACCTTCCATGGGGAAGGGATGTTTCCATTTGCTCTGCCAGACAGTTGCTTCATTCTATTTTATTTTTCCCCAGGCCTTCGCCAACTACTTAGTGGTTGTGTTGTTAATTTTTATTTTTTAAAATTTTTAGCATTCACTTTTATGAGGTTTTGAGTTCTAAGTTTCCCCCTGCCCAAGACGGCATGCAATCTGATATAGGCTATACGTGTATAATCATATTAAACATATTTCCACATTAGTAATATTGTGAAAGAAGAATCAGACCAAAGGGGAAAAACCACGAGAAAGAAAAAAAAAGTGAAAATAGTGTGCTTCAATCTGCATTCAAACTCCTTGGTTCTTTTCCATCGTGAGTCTTTTGGAATTAGTTCCCTCGTTTTAATGAGTACCATTAGCATGTCTGACTCTGCCTGTTGCTTGTCAGGTCCTTTGGCCTCTGGCATAGACATACCCAAGAGAATGCTGAGGGGCCTGACCACCTAGGACTACGGGCAGCTCCCAGTGCAGCCTAAGCCCAGCCTTTCCCCAGGTCACCCCCCACAGGGCAGCATCAGCCCAGGCATTCAGGGAGAGACTCCCCACAGCTGCCTCACTTAGCCGCAGAGAGCTCACCTGGCGCTCTCTGCTGCTCCTTCCTTCTCAGGGACGCCACTGTCCAGTGCCAGGATCAGTCACTGCCCTCCCTCATTCTTAGATATGAAACTGATATTCTCCTGTGAAGGTTTGCCTTCTCCCACCTCTTCCTGGAGGACACAGGGTTACTCTAGCTCGATGGGCAACCCTGGGGAAGTATTTGGGGCCCACCCTGCATGGCTGGCCTCTTCTCCTGCGGTCTTAGCTGTGCCTCAGTGCCCCAGGCTTTGTTCTGTCCTCCGATCCCGTTAGGGCTGTGTACAGATTTGCTGCCCCCCCCCCCCGCCTCCTAATCCTGGGAAGAGGCTTGTCCATCTTAAGCTTTTTTGTACCTTGTAAACCAGGCCCCTGGACTGCCATCTTTAGAGCCAGGAGGGTGCAGCTGGGGGTGGCACAGAAGAACCCCAGACTTGATTCCTGCTTTCTCACGTCAGACCAGGCCCTTCCCCCAGGCTTCAACTCCTGCTCTAGAAAGTGAGGTTGTTGTATAAACTGTCTCTGAAGCACCCCCGGGAGCGGGAGGACCTCGGGCAGCTCCAGGGATCCTCATGAGGCTGGGTTGGGGTTGTCAGAGCCCTTGCAGTCCTGCTGCCTCGTGGCCTGCCCGCTTGGTGTCCCGCCTGTTGTCCTGCTGGAGACAGGGCAGAATTCCCTGAATCACCACCAAGCTGCCCTGGTCCCACAAAGACACATGCTGAAGGCGCTGCTGTCCCCCCCCCTTCCCCTGGTTCTTTTTTTCTCTTCTTGGTTGGTGACTTGTCTTCACTAGCGAAGCAGGTCGCCTCCTTTCTTTCCCCTGCCCGCAAGCCCCAGTCCTGACAGACATAGGAATAGTGTATTCCAGGAGCTGGCAGTCTCTCTGGACCCTGGAGCTGGGGCTGTGAGGCGCTGTGGGAGTCATCTGATCATACAGATGAAGAGACTGAGGCCCAGGAGGGGAAGTGACTAGGCCAAGGTCACCCAGGCAGTTAGGGTCTGCAGACTTGGGAGCCTGCTTGGCTCTGATCCTTGTGCTGGGCTGCTCCCTGGCGCTCTGGCCTTTGACGATCAGGACGAGCCTGGCACGTGGTGAGCCCACTTCCTGCTGCTTTGGAAAATGCGGCAGTCACGTCTGATCTCCTGGTGGACAGTCGCCCCGGGCCCTGAGTAGTCATGCAGCTTTTCCTCCTGTCCATTGAGGCCACTGGATCTCCAGGCAGCAGACGCCCTGCCGAGCTAGGCAGTCTTTATCTGACAAGATTTCCATCCACACTTTCCCCAGCTCAGGATGGCTTTTAGTTTTCCCTTTTGGAGTCTGAACGTAGTGGTACTTGCACCGTGCAGTGAGGGTGCACCCCAAAACAGCTTTGAACAAGGCTAATAGCTTGTTTCTTGTCAGGGAGCTTTCTTCCTCAAAAAGAGGAACTACCTTATTCGGGCACCTCGCCCTCCTCCTGTCTTTGAGCAGTGAAGGCAGCCCTGGTCAAGACTGGAAAGGAGAGCATTGTCTCCACCATTGCACACAAACCAGTAAAGTGGTCGTCTCAGGGCTGTCACAGTCAGAGGTGCTGGGGGAACCCCCCTGATTGCCTGCTCCCCCCCCCATCCAGCTGCTGAGTGCCAGGCTCCCACCACACAGGACAGGTGGTGTCCGTGGCCTATCTATGCCGTGACAGTCACACCTTCCCCGGGCCCTGGGCGTCCATCCATCTGGGACTGAGTGCCAAATGAGATGGGGTATGTGAATGTCACGGCTCGTCCCCGTCCTTTAAGGATGAGTTCAGAGACACCGGGAAAGACATAGATGAGCTGAGGCACATTGGAGTAGGCAGCAGCGATGGAGACAGTAAGAACTCGATGAGCTGGTGGTCCCCACAGCTTGCAGGGAGGGCCTTCACACCCACCGTGTGGAAGTGTCACAGATGCCCCCAAAGAGGGGCTCTTCCCAGCCCTGCCATCATACCTGGCTTCTTCCTTGCTTTCTCCTTCTTTCCAAAACACGCCCTTGCGCTGCCACAGTCTATTTGTCCTGCCTCGTGTCTGCTCGGTGGGCATAACAAAGAGTGGATGGCACGGTTATCTGCTCTTCTGTCATCTCATGCCTGTGTTCTGCTGGAGCAGATGTGGAGAGGGCCCCCGCCCCCCCCACAACAGACATTCCAGGCTAGGTGCTGCTCTGTGGCTCTCCCTGCCGCCTCGTGAGGTTTGAGGTTGGACCCTTTTAAGGCGGTTAGCAGCCCCTGCCCCTCCCCAGTTCATGGCCCCAGTGACAGACCTTATTGAACCGATTACAGATAGTTCTTCTGAGTGAAAGCTCTCGCTGGCAGGAGCCTTCCCCCTTCACCAGCTCCAGCATCCGTGACAAAGACCTTGCTCTCTGATGTAACTGTGGGAACATGGAGGGTCACTTGTGCTGGTAACATACAGATGTAATCCCTAGGATTGCTATGAAACCAACTTACTCGGAAAAAATTCAAATTGTGTTTTAAGAGTTCAGATAATTCGGGATCATCAACGCCGTCTTCGAGTCAAGAGTCCCTGGCTCCCACAGTCAGTTCTGGCTCCGAAGGACTGAGGTTCCGGAGCTCACCACAAGCACCAGCCGATCCCGAGCAAAGCCTGCCGTTCCCGTACGTCATGCAAGGGTAAGTGAATTGGCCGTTGGGATTGGGCTTGTGGGGGAGATGGAGGAGATGGTCAGCCTCTCAGGGGACGCATCGTGCCCTAACGTCAGGGACGGTTGAGGTTTTGTCGCTGTCTCTCTGGGGCCTGGTACTGTCTACTTTTGACATAATTCAGATGAGGTCGCTAGGAGCTGGCACAGTATCCAAAACTGGGCTGGAGTTAACTAGTCCTGAGTTCAGCTTTGGCCTTAGGTGCTTACTGACTGAGTGACCCTGGGCAAGTTTCCTTCCTTCTGTTGGCCTCATTTTTGTGAGGGTAAAATGAGATAATATTTTTAAAGTGCTTTGAAATCTTAGAGAAGTTAAGCAGACATGTATTCAGCACCTAATGTATGCCAGGCACTGTGCTAAGTGCTTTACAACTATCTCATTTGGTCCTTAAATGGCACTTTTTAAGTTTTGGAGGGCTGTCTAAATGCTTACTGTGTAGGGAACTCCCAAGTGAGGAATTGGCATCTGCCAGGACAGAGCCACATCTCTTCACCGACTTAGTCTCAGACAGCACCTTGAGGGGCTGTGCCCAAGAGCACACAGCCTGGGTGTGCCATGGGCAGGACCTGAATCCAGGGCACAAGAATGACAAGACGAGCTCTTCATGCATTGGGCCTACCATCTCCCACATAGTGGGTGAGTTACAGTAGGTGAATTCATGTTGTAGTCACTACATGTGTGGGCATGTATACACACACACACACACACACACGTGTACCTTTGGGAAGGCGAGGACAGATAGCACCTGACGTGGATATAAGTCCTTTATGATGTTTGTGGTTTAATTACAATTATTCAAGCACCTACATTGTTATACTTTGAGAATCATTTTATGATTTATATGTCAAATCTGGGAAATCCCCCAGGACAAGATGGATGACAGAAAACACGTTAGCCCCTCATCCCGTCCAGTATTTGTGTCCTAGGGAGAGCACTTGGGGGGAAATTTCCCAAGAAGCCCATTGTAGCTTCCTGTACCCAAGAGGACCTACCTCCAGGAAAGATTGCCTGCCCTGTCAGCCGAAGGCCAGGGCCATCTCACAAGCTGCCAGTTCAGGGGGCAGTAGTTGGGGGGGGGTGGACCAGGATTCCGTCTGTTAACAGAACAGTCGTGTCCCGGGTTTCTCTTGGGTTTGTGATTCCTCTTTGAAGTGAATGCAGCAAGAGAAGCAGCCATGGATAACAGACAACAGTTTAAAAAGGAAAAAGTATTGTGCCCCGAGTCGGGAACGTGGCAGGCCAGCGGGTGTGCCCGGCCAGGAAAGACAGCCAGGTCGGCACAGCCTCTCAGCTCTCATGGACTGAAGGCTCTTCCTGCAGAAGGCGCAGGTGGGCCTGTAGAGCGTGAGGCGTGTGCTGTGGGGCCGCAGGAGCCAGCACGAGCGGTCATCCAGGCCTGCTAAGGAGAGGAGGAGAGGGCTGCAGCCACGGATAAAAGGACGGACAGAGGTCTCCCGCCTTCTCAGATTTGACCGACGTCGGCAGGTGTGGGTGACGTTGTTGGCCCGAAGGGAGAGGCAAGTGTGAGAAGGGAGTAGTTGGTTCAGATGTCTGAGAACTAGATTTAGATTTGTGGACCGTGGACCCGGGAAGGATGGGCTCTTGGCAAGGTCGGAGGGCACCTGGCGGGAGATAGTTAAGACCGTTGAAGGGGGAAGGAGAAAATGGCCTGAAGGAGTTGAAGCCAGATGCCATAGGTCAGAACGGAGGGGCACTTCCTGAAGGGCAGGGAGCAGGCTACTCCAAGATGACCACCACACGGGCCAGTAAGTGCATCGGAGCTGCTGGGTGAGAGCTGAGCCGCCGAGGGTTCGAGTAGGAATGAGTGCTGCCGATTAGGGCCTGGCGATGGGTACCAGCTCTTCTTATTTTCCCTCAATTAACAAGAATTTGTTTTCTTTCTCACTCCACTCCCCCCTCAGAAAGGGGGAGACAGAGAGAGACAAGCAAGATGGATTTCTTCATCGGCCGTGTCCTGAAGCTCAAGACTCCTCCTGTGTCTGGAGTCCGTCGCTCCTCTGTTAGGAGGCAGGTGGTAGGCTCCTTCAGCCCTTTGGCCCCCGGTTGGTCACTGCTTCAGTTGTATCGGTTGTTCTCCTGGTTCTGTTCACTTCACTCTGCTTCGGTCCCTGTGAGTCTTCCCTGGTTTCTCTGAAACAACCCCCTTCATCATTTCGTGTGGGACAGTGCTGCGTTCAGTCGCCCCCAGATCCGCGGGCACCCCTTTAGTTTGCTGCATCAGCTAGAGTAGCTGTAGCTCTCTTTGTGTGTGATGGGCGCACGCGTAGTTTCATGACGCTTCGGGCAGGTTGCTCTTCAGAATGTCTGGGCCAGTTCATGGCTCCGCCAGCTGTGCCTTGGTGTGCCTGTTTTCCCCTCCAGCATTTGTCATTTTCCTCTTTTTGTCATGTGAGCCAATTTGCTAGGTGTCAGGTGGCACCTTGAGAGTTGCTTTCATTTGCATTTCTCTAATTATTGATGATTTGGAGCATATTTTTTTTTTTTTTCGCATACAACTCAGCTTGGAAGCTATCTCCTTTGGTCATCGATTGGAGGATTGCTGGCTGCGCTTGGTTGCCCCGATAACAGTAGATCAGTCTGCTGCTTTCTTGGGGCATGTGTCTAATATATGGGTACAGGTTTTTCTGCCAGAAGGGGAACCCATTAGGGGCCCAGCTGGTGGTTTCATCACCTTTCTCCATTGAAGGCAGACACACATTTGGGAAGTTAGTAGCTGGTTAGGAAGTAATACAAGGATATAATTTGTCCTCATCCTGGGAAGCAGCCACTGTGGAGAAGGGAAGTGAGCCAGCTGTCCCTGGCAGGCAGCAAAGGACCCTGAGCAAGATACTGGAGATAGACTGTGTCAGGGGAGTCAGGCCACCTGCCTCACCCCAACTGCTGGCTCTCCTCCTGACCCCTAAAGCCTTGGGAACGACCAGTCTGCTACCTCCAGCCCATGTTCCATACCCACTGTTCGGGGGAGAAACCACCCTGGAGAAGGGGCCAGCCTTCACCATACCCACAGCAACTGCTAAACAGCCCTGCCTAGGGAAGTGGAGCCCAAGTTTTGCTCCAGGGAGTGGCCCCATACCTTGGACCACTGGTCCTCTCTTAGCCATCATCCTCAGAAGATGCCGTCTGGAACCACAGCGACTGAAGACCTAGAAAGAAGATGTTCTGGCCCAAAGTCTGTGGCACGTCAGACAGTGGAACGTTGGAAGTGGAGGCGTGCCAGCAGAATAGCGTGAGAGGGCCGTCTGCTCTGCTGCTGCTGCACCCCAAGGACTTACAGCTGAAGCCTCTCCCAGTAGAATGTGAGCTCTGGAGGGCAGGGACGTTGGTATCCTGAGGGTTCAGTACAATACTTCGTTTGCGCACTGTAAGTGCTTAATACATTGCTTACTTACTTCTGGGCCCTAGCTTAAAACCCAGGATTGACGGGTTCCTGGTCAGAGATGAAGTTCACCTGACAAAGACTTTTAGGGAGCCATTTCCTTGGATTCTTAGACTTTAAGGAGGAAACTCCCTCAGGATGATAATAATAGCTAGAGTTTATATAGTGCCTACTGTGTGCTAGGCACCATGCTAAGTGCTTTACAGTTAGGATCTCATTTGGTCCTCCCAACAACCCTGGGAGGCAGGTGAGTGTTGTTTGTGCTCATTTAAGTGTGTTCCATCAAAGCAATCCCTGGAAAACACACTGAGAATTGAATTGTTCCTAATGAGTGATACGTGATTGAAACCTCTCTTGAGAAGGACATTTCTATTCCACCAAGTAACAGGACAGGAAACCCCAAGGGCTCATACCTCAGGCCCCGGGATTGGTGCAGGTCTGCAGTCATGGCGAGGCTGGAAGCCAGCGCTCACCAACAGGTCATACCAAGCTTTTGGCACTACCTTAAACTTTCTGTGGCCTGGTTTGAGCTTTTTTTTAAAAATGTTTCTATTGCTGTTTTTGGGTTTCTTTTAAATCACCAAAATTTCCCCCAGTATCTCTCCCCTTCTGCTCCCAGAGAGCCATTCCATGTAATAGTAAAGGAAAAAGAGAAAATACTGAATGAAACATTGAAAAAGTCTGACAACACGTGCAAAAATGTGATGGGCCCTCCCATGGCTGCAGGGGAAGGAAGAGGACGAGGACTGAGTGTTCTTTCCCCTTCTTTGGGGCCGAGCCTCTGGTTTGTACTTGTGCAGCTGCTCAGGATGGTTTGGGGCTGGGTTCGCCCATTTATGCGGCTGCACTCTTCGTGTCCGTGGCTTTCCTGGCGCTCCTAACTTGACCCTGCATCAGATCACAGCACTCTTGGCAGGCTTTTCTGTAGTTGTCACAGCACGGTCCCATTCCCTGCCCTTTGGGGACCATCGTCCACGAGAAGCCTTTCCTGGCCCACCTCCCGCCACCTCCTCCTGGTGCCTTCCTGCTGATGGGCAGCATGGATTGGTTCTGTGGCGTTCTGGCTTGGGCCCAGTGTTTGCTCATTGTCTGCTCCATAGACTGTGAGCTTCGGGAAAACAGGCACTTCAGTGGCTTTCCTCTTCTTTGCTTTTCCTTGTATCCCTAGCACTTGGTACCATGCCTAGTACACAGTAGGTGTTTAATAAATGCTTGATTGTGTTCACAAAAAGAGCTCCCCGTATGGACATTTTAGTCTCTTAGTTGCATCATTCCAGATTGTTTTCGAGAGTCGTTTTTGCTGATTCACAGCTCCATCAAGAATGCACCAGTGTGCCAATCCTCCCCTCACCCCCCAATCACTCTTACATCTTTTGTCACTTTCTAGCCTCAACTTACCACCATAGATTAGATGGCTAAGATTGTCTCCAGAAAGCCGCTGTTAATGTGCTGTAAGATAAACGGGGGAAAGAGAAAGGCTTTGGGGGTGGGGAGTGTTTAACACGTGAGCGTGGATCAGTTTCAGAATTAATCCATCCTTCCACTCCTCCAGTGAGGAAAGGTGGGAGGGTAGGAAAAGGGGATTTAGCCTCATTTTTACCTTAGGGCCAGTGGTAGTGCCAAAAAGGCAAAGAGTGGGAATTGTTCAGTGTTCACTGCATGTAGAGCTCCCCCATTCTTCCTTTCCTAGGTCTTTCCTTCCCTCCTCCCTCCCCTCCTTCACCTCCTAGTCCTCTCCCCTTCTCCCCTCCACTTGTCTTCCCTCCACAGAAGGGAGCCACACTCAGTACGTTATATCATCGTAGTTCTCATTGATGTAAACATTGATCAGTCTTCAGTTTGCCATCACAGCATTTACACAGCCCTGTGGTGTAGTTTTCGGTAGCCAGGGGCTGACTGGTTTGCTGTCAGGTTTATTACAAACGGTGGTAAATCATCTCTGGGGACTTTTCTCATCCAAATGTGCAAGCCCTTTGACCTGTAGCTCCTCTTGCTAGGAAGAAGAACTCAAGAGAGGTCACTTAGCGATAGAAAGGCTCCAATACACAGCGAAGGAACGGGAACCAGCTGTGGTTCACAGATGTAATGAAATCCTATTGAACTGTAAGGACCAGCAAATATGACGACGTCAGAGCCCAGGGAGGCCTTGTCAGGACGCGAGTGTCCGCAGCGTCTGCGGCAGTGAGAATGGGAAAAGCAGCAGGGACAGCCATTCGGAGGACCACGATGGAGCCAGAAGAAGCTGTTTGTGGAGGGGGCAGCTCTGCTCACAGAGTCCAGTTTCTTTGGTGTCAATTTTGTTGGGCTGGATGTTTTTTCTTTTTGTCATAATAGCAGATTCTGTGGGAGGGGGAGGAATGTATTGGCAAGTATAGGCCGCGTACAGACAAAAGATATCGATATAACTTAATTCTTGTAAAAGAAAACTGTGTACTGTGTACCTGAGTGCCTGAGATTGTTCCCAGGGCCTCTCTCTGCCCCCTTTGTGGGGGAGGGAAGGGGGTGGATGGAGAATTTAGATACCGATGGCTTGTTTTTTGGTCTTTTTAAGTCCTTGCTACGAGGGACGGCCAATTGAGCAGGGTCATGGGCGGAGCAGGCCGTGTATTTGGAGATGCGGCTGATGTGTGAACAAAAGATACTAATAAAGTCAGACTTCATTCCCAGTTGTAAATGGAACTCTGGTGACTGCTGACAATGGCTGAAGAAGAGAGAGCTGGTTGGAGGTCATTAGTACTTGGGCTTAACAACTGTGGGTTGAAGAAGTGGATTTTTCTTTGTTTCTGTCAGAATTGTTGGGTTCAAATGATGGTGGTCACTCAGACCTAGGAACTTTTTGTGTTCTGCCATTAGAGCTTAGATGTGGTGGAACTCAATAGCTACATTTTGAGATGGTTAGTACACACATTTGAGAAGAGTAATTTTAAGGTAATAGCTTACACCTGCTTAAAAACTCCTGCGATTTGTTCCCCTCTCTGCCCCCTTTTCTGTTTTAGAAACGTTGGGGATCAGTTTCCTGGGCAGGCTCTCCCAGCTGGACTCCCTGTCTACCCGGCATTCAGCCCTCTCCAGATGCTCTGGTGGCAGCAGATGTACGCCCGGCAGTACTACATGCAGTAGTAAGTGCTTTTTCACTTGTCGTTGCTTTCAGGTTCTAAGCAGATGAATAGTCAGATGTTCCATTTGGTAGCATTCTTTATCCTGCTCAGTCAGAAACTTGACGTCGGTCCTCTTGATTCTAGTCGTTGGGCTCTGACCAAATACCGCGAGGTGGGTGTGGATCAGGGGTTCCCGTTTGATGAGTGGGTGCCCCCATCTGCAACAAGCCCTACTCAGATCCTTCCTCCTAGTTACTCCTAAGAGAACTTGGAGGCGTAAGCCCAGGACAGGTGGAGGAAAGGTCTCTACTCTCTTCAGGAAACCCAGTGGATGTTTGTAGACTGATGGGACAAAATGTGAGGGAGTCCCCTCGATAAGTGCCCTGGACTTAGACGGCAGGGAAGATAGCTCAAAGAGCCGCTTTGTTGTTGTTTCAGTCGTGTCTGACTCCGTGACCCCATTTTAGGCGTTTCTTGGCAAAGACACTGGAGTGGTTGGCCATTTCCTTCTCCAGCTCATTTTACAGATGAGGAAACTGAGGCAAATAGGGCGAAGTGACTTGCCCAGGGTCACACAGCTAATAAGTGTCTGAGGCTGGGTTTGAACTTAGGAAGGTGAGTCTTCCTGATTCCAAGCCCAGTGCTCTATCCACTGTGCTACCTGGCTGCCTTCAAGGAACCCCTGGGACCTGGGATAGACTAGCCTTCAGTCACCTGTAGAAGATTGTTTGTGGACTGGACTAGGCCATACTGGGGGATGGTTAAGGAGGGGCTGAGTACTCCTTCCCCACCTCCCTCTCTCTTGTTTCAGTAGGAGGTAAGTGTCTGGAGGGCTGGGACACTTGGGGCTTTTTGTTCATCCCTAGTGGCGTCCTCACGGTTTTTTGGTGTTTAGGCCTGTGATTTTGTTGATGTTTGGGAGCCTAATAAGAGCATCTCCCTCTAGCAGTGCCCTTACCCTATGGTCTGTTGCCTGGGGTGGTGACAGGTTAAGTGATTTGCCAAAGGTGACAAAGCCAGAGGTGACACCAGATCTTCCTAAACCCAGGCCTGTCTTTCTCTCTGGGATGTCAGATTTCCCCTTACCCTGTACAATGTAGATGCTTAATAAATGCTTCGTTGAATTGGATTGTGGGTTTTTTTTTTGTTTGCTTATTTGTTTTTAGTTTTGTTTTTTTAGCTTTTATAAAGGAATATTTACTTTGGAGGCATTATGAGTAAACATATAAAAACACCATGGGGGCATTATACCTCCCCACACCCTCAGGCTCTAGGGAGGAAAGGTGCATTTTTAACTCAGTTTTAACTCAGTTCCTACATAGCCTCAGTCCCACCCAATTTCAAGTCCATTTCCTCCTCTCACCCTTTGGGTCCAGGGACTCCAGCTTTCAGTGTCGGTCTTCCCTGCTGGTCCAGTTGCAGCCTCTGTCTGGCCTGGAATCCTGGGTACCCGGGTCACCATGGCTCAGACTCTGGGTTGAGTACCCCATGTCTACACTTAGAACTGAAAAAGAGTAATGAAACAGACCCAAGCCCCAAGAATGGTCCTTGGGGCCACGAGGCCTAAGCAGAAGGGAAAGGCCTCCCCCGCACCTCCCCCCACATGGTATAGCCCTGTGGTGAGACCACCGCAAAGAGAGAGCCTGTGCTTTCTTCAGGTAGAATGGAAGAAGTGCACTTACTACAAAGAGGCTGCTGCCAACCCCAGGGTAGGCCAACCTAGAACGCCTTCTCCCAGAAGCAGGTCTTTGGCCTCTCCCACGTGGCTGCCTCCATCTTAGATGATCTGGGCTTATGCTCCAGTCCCGTTATATTCTCATTCCTCATTGGGAAAATTTGTTGTCCCCAGCAGATAGGTGGGGGTGCATCTTGACCATAGCCCTTGTCCTCAATCGGAACAGCCCTCTGGGGAGGCACGATAAGCAATGTTCTTTTATTTACTTTCCCAGTGCCATATAGTACAGAGTCTCGAAACAGTCATTGTTGCGTGATCGTTTATAGCCAGCCCTGTGTGTAGACCAAAATCAGAGTTATTCCTAAGTACAGAGTTTTACAGATTCCACCAACAGGGAACGTCACAAGGTTTAGCCCAGATTATTGGTCATGTTGGTCCTTGACAGGTACCTGACTTGGAACGCAAATGGCCTTTCTCAACTCAAGATGAAAAGCCAAGGCAGAGAAGATTGGCTTTCTATCTTGGATGACTGTTGGTCTACTTGGAGCTTTCCAAATCACATGGAGCTCTCCGCACAGGAATTTAGGACCTGCGATTAACTAGGCAGCACCCACTCTCTCAGAGGACAAAACTGTCCTAGGTAGAAAATCCTTCACGATCCCTTCCGTGCGTGAGGCCATCCAACTGGAGCCTGGCCAGCATTGTCAAGTGGCCCATTTTGTACAGAAAACACTGGGGGAAAAAAAATCCCAGTCAGAGAATCTCTCCCAGATTCCCTGTTAATTCGAAGGGCCAAGTTTTATTTTAGATGAAGCCCCTATAACTAAAAATGATTACTCTGCCTCTGGCCCCCCCACCCTCCCACCATACCACTTACATTTCTACCCCTCCCCTAGGGTTCTTTGGGACTCAGGAAGGGGTGGGAGGGAGTATCTTGTCTCTGCCAGTGACTCAAGCTCCTACCATTTGTGTTTCTCCAATTTTAAGGGGTCCAGACGCCCTAGTTTTATTTGACCACTTAGAGTCAGATTAGCTTTTACAACAGAGTGTTTACTTCAGAAGTTTAACAGGCACAAGCATACAAACATCTCTAACGTGGTTAAGGGGAAGATAGCGCCACCGCTGCCCCCCCCACCTTGGTGGGCCGGAAGGGAGGGGGAGTAGATTCACAACTTAGCTTTATTTATTTATATTTTTTAATTGCCTTTAAAGGCAATTGGGGTTAAGTGACTTGCCCAAGGTCACACAGCTAGTAAGTATCAAGTGTTTGGTCTGAGGCTGGATTTGAACTCAAGTCCTCCTGACTTTAGGGCCTGTGCTCTATCCACCGCGCCGTCTAGCTGCCCCCACAGCTTAACTTTAGTCCGACCAAGTTTCAAGTCCAAAGCTCTCCCCTGGATATGTGTCCAAAGACCCTGACCTCTCAGGCCTTCTGCAGTGACCTGCTTGCCATCTCCTGCCTAGAATCCTTTGCCCCAAGGTCCCCAGAGCTCAAGCTCCTGGGCTGCTGGAAAGAGAGCAAAGGGACTTCTTTTGTGAGCATGTGTTTTTAGAGTGGCTCCGAGATGGTAGGATTTATAGGGAGATGTGGGCCAGGCCACTGTCGACCAGTTTCTCCAACGTGAAGTGGTTTTCCTGGGGCCCCATTTGGCTATCCTGATTTTCCTGCCTGCGGATTCTCTTTCTGCATTCCGTGATGGCCGTCTGTTCTCTTCCTCTTCTCTGACTGTCCAGTATTTCCCAAGGTCAAGTCCTTGCCATTTGTCCTCTCCATCCACCCTCGAGGGGAGATAGGGAGTATTGCTCAGGAGCTCGCTGAGGAGAGTACAGACGGGAGAGGAGACTCCTCTTTCGTGGCGCTCGGCAGGTTGTAGCAGGAGGAGGGAACACACGGAGCGGGTTGGTGAGGGTGGCTCTCGTTAGTGCTGCCCGCCTCCTAGGAATGGCTTGATCGTGTCGTGGTCACTTGACCTGGCCCTGGACATGAATTCCTCCTCCCAGACCCCTGTGTCCACTTAGCTGCCCAGTCCTATAATTCCTGCCTCCATCACGTCTGCCGCTGTCTTTTCTAACTGGCACTTGTCACCTTCCGCCTGAATTCCCACCTCTCCACTGCCGGGCTCTTTCTTCTCTGGCTGTACCTGGGGTTCCTTCCTCCAGCTCTGCCAGGATCCCGGAAGTGGGATTTGAACCCTGCTCTGTCCCCTCGAAGCCCTCAGCAGCTCTCCACTGAGATAGCCCCGTGAAGTCCAGCGGGATATCGCTCTTTTCTGCGTTGTGCACTTGACTCTTCAGCCAGGCCAGGCTCTTCAACTTCTGTCCACGTTGTCATTTGACAACATTGTCACGAGAAGCCTGAGAGCTGACTTTTGTGGTTAGCGTTCTCCATCCCGAAGATGAGGAAACAGTCTTCTGCTAGGAGTGTGTAGAGCATCGGAACCCGGGGCCGAGCAGCAGCTGCCTCCTTCAGCACTGTCCCCAAGGAGCCTCCTGTGCATGCTGGTTGGGAGGACGTTTATCCTCGAATTGAGTTGAGATTGGCCCCTGGGACTGCCGGTCCTTCCGACTTCTTTCTGGGGCCAGGAAGGACAAGTCGTGTCCCTTTTGTGCGCAGCTCCCTTCAGTTACTTGAAGACAGCTGTCGTCTCTCAAGTCTTAAATTCCGAATTACTTGGCCAGTAAGATGGCTGCATAGTTTTTTTTTTATAAAACTTCTGCAATCCCAAACCTCAAAATAAAGGAATTCTGCACCAGCTGAAAATAAAATAGAAGATGAGAAGATGGGAGTACCCCTCCCCCAATGTAAAATCCACCCCCAGGAGCTTCATTGCTCAGAATTTTGATCAGGTTCCTGACCTTTCAGCCAGTGTCGCAGGCCCACTGCACCAAGGCTTGGGACTCTTCGAGAATCCCACAGTGATCGTGCCCAACTCCACAATGGAAAGGAAGCTTGGGGAGGATGGGCGGAAGACGTGGGCAAGGACAGAAGACGAGTTGTGTGGAGTTCTCAGAACTGGGGGGGGGGGGGCGTACAAAACAGTGGACTTGATGGGCACAAGACTGGAAACCTAGCTGTGTCCACTGTTACTCAGGACAGTGACCCAGCTCAGCTCACCTCCCAATGGGAAGAGGTTGAGACTACCCAGCAGCCCAGCCTTCCTGGTTTGTCTATGCAGCAGTAGGAGGGGGTGGGACCCCAAAGAGGGAGGGAGGGAAGACGCAAGAGAAAAGATGAAGGAAAAAGTCCTTCAGACAGTAACATTGATGAAGCGCCCACGGGATGCCGGGTATTTTGCTGGGGATACAGAGTATGGCAAAAACATGGTCCCTGACTTTCAAGGAAGGA